AGATGCAATACAGATTCACGATATACAGATAGAATGCCTCAGTCTCTCAAAGAATTTAAGAAAATTGAGTAAGAAAGTATTTATACCGTTTTTCAAGCCTTCTCATGACCTCGAACCATGCCTACAATGGATCAATTCTTGTTCTTGTAGTCCAACAACATCAATAAAACGGTAACAACGTGGCTGCATCAGCCAAGCACAGATACTTAACACGGTTCGCATGAAGCGTGTATTACCGTTCCACTATGTATGGATAAGGACTAATACATTATGAGGCAAGTTAGTTTCATAATAATGGTCGCTCTTGTCTGTTGCCCTTGTTACATCGCACAAAACGGGAATCGACATGTTTTCGTCCGTTAATAAAGGTTTGTCCGTCATATGTCCAAGTCCTTCATCCTCGAGCGTAGTTAGACTTATAGATAGTTTATTAAACAAAAATTAATCGCAGCCAAAGAGCTGAATTGGGTTATTTACTAAGTCATGTAAACAAAACTATTTAAAAAACTGAGTCCAACATACAGTTCATATATTGATATGGAAGCAATTAGATCGTCAGAGACGGCACATGGCCAGGATGGACGAGTCTCTTAACGCGAGCAACCAAGTCGGTCCAAGTCAACTCGCTTTCCTGGCATTTTTTGACCTCGACATCTCAACTAGCGTTTTAATTGCTTGACAGTATAGTTGTCTGGATTATTTTGGAGCTTTGAACCAGGAAAATCGTCATTTTCTGTCAAAACTTCTGCATTTTGGAGCGAATTTAATGAGGCGCCAGTAAATTCCACATACATTTCTCTTGTATTGACCTCAACGTTTGTCCGAATGCAAGCGGGGGGTCGAAATCTGTGACGTAATATCCGCGCTGCGCTATTGGACTTAAAGTGATAAGCCTTATCAACATGGGTGGCATGGGTGGCCTAGTAGTTAAGCTACTGGCCTCTCACCGCTGTGGTCCGGGTTCGATTCCCGGGCACGGACCATATGTGGGTTTGAGTTTGTTTGATGTGTTGTTCTTTCCCTTGCCACGGGGGTTTTCTCCGGGTCCTCCGGTTTTCCTCGATCCCTCAGTAAAAATCAACATGTGAGGAGTGTTSTGTGCTAAAATACTTAATGTAGAGGTAGTGAGTGTGAGAGTACAGGGTCCGCAGTAATTGGCTCACGCTGTTGCGGTGTCCCTGCCCATACTAGGGGCAAAGCTAATAAATTTAATCTAAAACATAGAGACACTCAAGACACAAATGGAAAAAAATGTAAAAGCAAAAGCATTACTTACATGTGTTGCATGTTTTTGGACAATTCTTTTTGATACTTGGGTATTTACTACAGTATTTCTTGTAGTACTTACATCTTGACCACTTGTCTTGACAACCTTTATATCAAGCATTTATACTAATCGTTTGAGCGCGCTCTGATTGGCTGATATCTGACTGAGAGGAGTCTGAATATGAGGGGAGGGGATAGGGTTGTAACGGGAGGTACTCACGCAATGACAGACGCCTTATCGGTCTTATGCTCTAAATTCTAAACTAGCTGAGTTAGGATCAAGGAAGATTGCGACAGTAGGGAGTTATCGCACAACTGCCTTGGAACAACACAAATTAAASGGTGCTTGGGAACGATACTACAGTTTGTAGTAGGGGAAAGTTACATATGACTTTTATATGGTAAGGATCAGAACTTACTTGGTGGCTGCGTTGGGGGTGGTGGAGGCGGTTTCGTTGGGGGTGGTGGCGGTGGTGGTCCATCTGTTGGGGGAGGTGGTGGTGGTCCACCTGTTGGAGGTGGTGGCGGTGGTGGTCCGTCTGTTGGGGGAGGCGGTGGTGGGCCATCTGTTGGAGGTGGTGGTGGTCCGCCGCCTCCAGGTCCAACTCCTTCAAAAAAAATGTTTAAGAGAAAGTTGTAACGGCGCCAAACTTAAAAGCTGCATCACTGTCAGTCACCTGACATTCAACATGAATAAGGTTACATTCAACATATATAGGTTATAACCCTTTGACTCTAAAGATGACATTCAACATGAATAACCACATATATAGGTTATGTAAGCACACAGTTTGTAGATCGGAATATTGAACTATTTAGCGTCAATCCTATGAAATCGCGAAATTATACGATTAACCCTACCATATGCAATGTGGACAATTTTAAAGAATAGGAGTTAGTGTTTTTCTATACCAATCACTATTTTCATTTTCGTGGCCGTTCACAATATGCAATTAAGTTAGTGGYCAATATTTCATCATATCATACCTGTGTTTTGTTTGATCCAGTCGGTGTAACTGGCTACTCGAGCAAACACTGTGTAATGCGTAGTCGGGCAGTTTCTCAGTCCAAAGCTTACAGCACCGTGAAGATACCATCTTCCTCCTTCCTCGCACACCAACGGTCCACCRCTRTCACCRTTACACCCACCAGAAGCACCTGAACGAGCTTCTCCAGCACAAAGATGGGCATTAGCATCGATACTCGATCCGTACTTTTTACGACAGTTATCATGAGATGCAATGGGCAACATAGCCTGTTGAAGGATGTCAGGAGTTCCAGACTCGGTCCTACCCCAGCCTGTCAACAAAAGTCAAATATGTTCCAAAGAACACGATATTTACCAGTAATAAGATACTGTACTACCTGTAATGTAGCATTTTTTCCCTGCAGCAGGTTTTTGATCTGTCAAGCAAACAGGGGAAACTTTGCCACTCATTTTCACTGGTGTCTGAAGTTCTAACAATGCGATGTCATTTATGAGTCTTCTTCTGTCCCATTTTGGATGTGTAATAATTTTTGCTATGCGAATAGTTTGTTGCACACTTGTGGAACCAAGCCTTCGATGTGCACCTATATATAAAACCATAAGTGATTAGTATAGTTATATTTGGACGTTCGATACAGAGATATATTTACCTACTACAGCAGTGTATTGGCTTGGTGAACTACCAACACAATGTGCAGCTGTGATAGCCCATTTTGCGCTGATCAACGATGCCCCACATATGTGTCCTCCTCGTCGGAATGAGATCTGCCAGGGCCAAGCATGGGGAGTTGCGTCCTGACCATTGATGACACGGGCAAACCCGGGTTTACGCCCGCAATCTATAAAGAAAGTTAGACACAGATTGTTACACTTTTATAGCCCATAAGTTCCCTTCGGCATCATAAGGGATTTCTTATTCAATTTACCATCCTGGGAGACAAATGGAAATAGTGGACAACGAATGGTGTTCGAACTGTAAAATCGGATCTTCTAAGGGATAAAATGAGATCTGTACTAAACATTTGTTAAAAAGTGACTGAGTAGTTACCTGCGTCCGTTAAGGAAGCACAAAGTACTGCAACTAGAACTCCAAGTACCAAGTCCATCTTGGGTTTGTGGATTACCTTTCAAAGTACATGGTTATATGCCCAACCATGATAAACCTGTATTTACTAGTTTACAAAGAAACTTGCCATGTACTTTGCTTCCAGTTTTATTGCAAAAATATTGTTTCAAGGATTGAATAGATTTCTGTAAATACAGATACCTTATGACGAGCTATTGCGATATTGAATATTTTTTTATAGAAAGTCTTTTCAAAAGAAGAATGACATTTGCTGATTTTATGTCTTGTGAAAAACGTATAAAGTTAAACTAGCTTTGACATCACAAACACAGCTTTTATGTTTAGAAAAGAAAAGATGCCTTTTGGTATTTGCTAAGTTGTGTAGTTTGTCTTGAATATTTATTCGCTTTATTAATCCAAAACTACTAAACGAGCCTGAGTAAAGATAAATGTCAAAAAATATTTGAAGCCAGTGCGCAGTCACCGACTATTTTTGATACGACGACATATACACAAGCAGAAACAGAAGAAAGTTCACACTTGACGTAAGCATGAGCATGTTTGTTTTGAGGCTTGACACAAGTATTTATTGAACGTAAGCAGAAGCAGACACGTAAGGAAACTATGGACATGTTTTCATATTCTTATGTTTTTGATTCGGCATATGTTTTCCTGGTTCACACTTAGCAAATTCCCTTTTCCCGCTTATGTTGTAGTGTGAACCGACCCTTAATATTTCCATAATGTTTGAAAGCTTCGGGACAATTAGCTATTAATAAATATCAATGTTTATTAGCTGTTTTATCGCCCACAATGTTTTGATTTATCAGGACATCAGTTTAACTGCCGTTGCACATGTAGTGCTGCGTTATGATTTGATACAACATTGCAAAGTCCGTCTAGATAGTCAACGATTTAAACTAGTAACTATGCTCGCGTCTTGTTAAATTCAGAAAATAGACTCATGTTTTCTTTACGAAATAATCCTAAAGAACCTTATTGAGTGCTTTAAAGATGATTAATAGCTGCTTATAGTCTAATAATTTCTCAAAGCTTGTGCGCATGGTGGGGCGGTATTTCACTTGTTTTGACTGGGGCTTTTAGCGTCTATCGCCACGTATCACAGCTGTACAGTTTCCAGGGAGTCTGCCTACATTTCAACGAGGGCCAGTATGAATACGAAATATATGTACGGAAGAGTTATCATAACTGCATCGATAAAAGGACTGTAAAGCAACAATCACTTATCTTTCGATAGACCGCACTATCTATCTCGTACTTTCCTTTAGTAAAGGATGGTTATCATTTATTTTAACAGACTAGTAAACTTTTATACATCACATTGAATTGCCCAACGTATTGTATTTTGGTTGATAACATGCGAGCGAGAGTAGCTGATGTTTTCCAATGTTAGCCTGCAACATAAATAATATTAATACCAAGTCGTTTTTAATACTGAAGGCAGCAGCTACAGGGAATTAAAAAAAACAGCTTACACAGTCTGCAAGTTCTTTTACATCGTCCTCTTACGAACGAGTTGTAACTGCATTTGTAGGAATATCTTGAACAACGACTTGAGATGTCTCGACAGCCTGTAAGGTAGATAAGCCTAGGTTAGCGTGTGAGTTTTATCAGTAGATGCGAATATTAACAACAGTCTATATTGATTGTTGTATTCGAATTCAAATGGMAAAGTTTAACTTATATGTTCTTAARTGATTAATCGTATGAGGAAGTGGCTGATCCCATTAAAAATTAAATACTGTCTGATGAGTGCGTAGCACRAAACTCGGAGTTACAGCAAAATCTTGCCTCTTTGATATCATATATACTTAAATGATTACAATGTTCTTGATTTTGCACAGTTCGGTTTTTAAGTGAAGTGAACAGCGGTTCAGTGAGAGATTGATTGATCAAGTAAATCGAGGCCACCTACAAAATATAAAGTGCGGKTTTTTTTAACTCTCTGCGTAGATGACTTATWCRTACTTTTTCMGCRATATATTGTTCGTATAWAAGACAGTACTTACAGAGTCTACAGGTTCTTTGACATCGTCTTCGKACAAATGAATTGTACCTACATTTATAGGAATATTGCGAGCAACGCCACGAAATATCACGACAACCTAAACATACAGCAGATRYACACATATGAAACAAGTTATAAAGACAAGAAAACAATTTGAAAACATTAAAAAAAAAACAGATCAAAATCCGCTAACACAACAACACGAGTCAGACTATAAAGTGATAAATATGAAGCTTTATATGAATTTATATATTAACCATCTTTGTATGGGTCTATGTACATGTATGTAGATATGATTTTAACAGGAAATCGATTAAAAGCTGGACGGCCAAATTTGTAAGATTCATGCACATACTTATAGATAGATGAAGTCACGTGATAGACCACGTTTTATTAGTACTAGAAGCTTACCTGAAGGGGATTGTGTTGGTGGTAATGGTGGTCCTGTGGGAAGAGGTGGTGGGGGTGTTCCAGTAGGGATAGGTGGGGGTGGAGGTCCAGTAGGAAGGGGAGGAAGTCCAGTAGGGAGAGGTGGGTATGTTCCTGATGGTAAAGGGGGAGTCACAGAGGGAAGTGGAGAAGGGATCTCTGTTGGGAGAGGAGGTAGGACCGTTGGAGGGGGTGCTGGTGGTCCTGGAGTTGCCGGCAGTGGGGGAGGCGCAGGAGGTCCTGCTTGTGGTGGTCCGTGAAGAGATGGATTTGCTTTGCCGTCACCATCGCCTATAGGAAAGACATCTAATAGTGAAACAATAAATTACTTTATAAGTCCCTTTGGTATAACAATCGAATTGAACAGTACCTATTTCGATGAAAGAAACTGAGCAATTGTTTTAAGTTAACTTTACAAGACTTAAATGAATTAATTGAAAGTTCTCGCTATCATTTGATGATGTATACCACGACAAAATGAGCAACAAAACTTAACAAAAATAAATCATAGCATCGTGTGTTCATTATATTAATCAGAAGTACATAACCAGAAGTGGTTATGTACTTCTGATTAATAAAGTATTGGCATTTCAGTCTTACCTGCTTCATTTAGAGATATTCCTAGCAAAACAGCTACTATTATCGATACTAGCTTCATTTCTGACTTCTACACATACAGGTTTAAGAGCTGTGTTATCTCTATGTCAATAACATGGCTTTTCAATGTTGAATCAGGCTTACTAGCAAATCAAAGATACAACACAAGGACAATACCTAAACTGATCAGAGACACAATAGGTGGTACTAAACAGATTGAATTTCGTAGATAACTTGATAAAGGTGGTAAAAGCCAGGAAGCTCATCTTTAGTTCTTGTGGAATATCATTACAGTGCCGGATAACTTCATTAACCAAGAGCCATATTTTTTTGAATTTCTGGGATAAAAAGTCTGGGATAGGACATGTACTTGTTTAATTCGCCTTTGAAAACAATCAAGCTGTWGTRTTTGATGATAGCATTAGTTTATTTTTTTCAGTAKATYATCCGMTAAAACACCCTTCAAAATTTSTAAACCCTAWACAGTAGYCCKCCTTGAATTGCTTCTTKGGGGATCAACCTAAAGAAATYAAGCAAAAAGAAATTTACAYACTGTTACTTATCTWAWRAAATTTTTGCTTTATAATTAGGAAATAATKTTTTKATATTTATGTAAATTTTGTGATACTTACAAAACTTGCATGTTTTTCGACAGTGTTTTTTCAAATACCAACTGTTCTTACAGTTATGGACATGATATGAACAAAGGTTCCAGTCATCTTGACAACCTACCATAACAATTGACATATGTCAATCATTCATGAAATGTGCCGAATTAGAGTGACTTACTGAGAACCGAAATTTACCTCCAGGTGGATTTGTTGGCTTTTATGTGGGTGGGGTTGGGGGTTTTGCAGTAACAGTTGTGGGTGGGGGTGGGGGTTTTGCAGTAACAGTTGTGGGTGGGTGTGGTGGTCTTTGTGTCGGAGGGACAGAGGGATTTACTCCACCGCCACCTGGTCCAATTCCTTAAATAAAAAATCAAGAAATTGATTAGTCTTTCAATATCGAAATTCCAACGTAAGAGAAGAAAGATAAATTGGGGATTTTTGCTTATCCCTACAGCTTAAAGTATATCATTTTATACGTAATGTTGCATGCGTAACGTTATATTTCTTGTGAAACGCCACTATCTTCTCGACTCAAATGTCACTATTTCGCCACCTACCAGTCGTTTGTTGAATCCAATTAACATAGTGAGACACGCGAGCAAATACAGTGTAGTATTCAGTTGGACAATGTAATTTTCCAAAGCTCACAGCACCGTGAAGATACCATCTTCCTCCTTCCTCGCACACCAACGGTCCACCGCTGTCACCGTTACACCCACCAGAAGCACCAGCTCGACCCTCCCCAGCACAGATGTGGAAATCACGGTTTATTCTGCTGGAGTACTTTGCCTTGCATTGATTTGTGGAGACGACGGGGAGCATGGCCTGTTGAAGCGTTTTGGCAGCTCCAGGATGACCGCCTCTTGTTGCACCCCAGCCTAGTATSACAATCAGTATATTATTACGACTATTGCTGTTGTTGTTGTTGGTGGTGGTGGCGATGTTGTTGTTAGTGCTGCTGGTGCTATTGTTTTTTTTGCTATAGATTTTGTATTCAAATAAAGTTCTCTTGTAATTTAGTAAACAGAAGGTATTAATGGAGGACATTCAGAGCTGGATTCAAATAGGGAATGCTGTGCACCACGCACATAAAGTTGTTTGACTGATAAGCGATGATTTCTTTAATATACCTGTAATGTAACAGTTCTTGCCAGCTGTTGGTCTTGAGGCTGTTAAGCAAGCAGCTGCCACCTTATCGCTCATTTTTATGGGGGATCCAAGCTTCAGTAACGCGATATCATTAATTAGTTTTATACTGTGGTACTTTGGGTGCTCGATGATCTTCGCAACTTGAAGTGTCTGTTGAACGCTTGTTGTTTCCCATAGTTTGTGAACACCTTTAAAAATAATRCTGCTATTTACTCTCTAGATATTCAAACAACTGAATGGAGTGTTAGACAAGTGTCCTGTAAGTATTATCAATGTACCTGCTACAACAGTGTACACGCTCGGGTCTTTAATCCTATTGACACAGTGGGCTGCGGTTACGATCCAGTTTGGGCTGATAATTGTTCCTCCACATATGTGTCCTCTATTTCTACGAAGTGAGATCTGCCAAGGCCATGCGTGCGGGGACGCGTTTACACCATTGATGACACGGGAACCTGGCGGTTTACGTCCGCAYYCTGAAATGAACGCAACAACTGAATGATCTGTGCGTAAGTTGGGGTCATTATGTATTYTTCCAGTAGAATGGTCCATCATTTACAGCATTGAGTACATATATACTACTTGCTAAGTCTACGAACTTCCAGTATCTTTTTTTGGATTTAAGCCCGAAATATTATCATCAAATGCTCATTTCTACAGGAAAAAAGATATTCATTCTCTGAAAAAGAGAAARGTTMTACTGTTTAAATGTTGTGCAATTCGCTGGGTTTGATGAAAACCAAAATTTTGTTTTACCTGCCTCGGCCCAAACTGCTCCAAGCAGAAAAACTATTACTCCATACAGTACTCTCATGATAAGTTATGGACACTCAGCGCAGTACTTCTGTAAAGTACTTACACGAAGCATTATACATCTGTGTTGAACTTTGACAAACAAGCCGTTGAAGAAAAAAACAACAATGTGAATAGTCGGGCCTGCATCACATGATCGATAAATATAGAGATGATATTAAACATTATAAAGACTAAATGTACTGTATTTGGGATTTAATCTAACAATCATATTGTCATAGCGACACTATAAGAGTGCAATCCTTGATAGAGTCTTTATTACAATCARTCGTAAGTGATAATTCTTTGAAAGTTATATCATGCAAAGCCAGGCATTCATATGATWAAACCCTGAATCATTGTACGGACTATTTATTATCTCACTTTTCCATGTTAGTTTCAGTTTTTATTTTATATCTTTGATTTTTTTTATTTTTGTCCCTTCCAAATGTTTACCTAAAAACTATCAGATTCTACCTTCCTATTGGCTAGCCTGTCAAACCTGATTTCTCTTCTGTGAACCTGTCAAACCTGTTTCAATACAGTTGTTCTTCTGTACACAGGTGCAGGAAAAGTCATCCATTCTGATGACGATTYTGATTTTCCTTTGAAATGGGAATTATTACAAATACAGATCTTTCATTTTATCAAAACAAAACACGTGTTGTATGATTTTATTCGCAGGGGCCTGGTTTATTCAGGAAACGGGCAACACTCTAAGAGCACAGCTCTTTCAYCTTATGATTACTAGCTTTCATTGATGCACATAGTATTGTCATTAAGTGAAATCCATGGTTATAATACAAGATACGCGTGTATAAAGAAAAAAGTCCTGGATTCGACCCCCCTTACCACTAATACCCAAACGCAACTCCACAAACAATTAAACTAAATGTCTGAATTACAATGACTTACAAATAATATCAGATTTAAGTTTGTATTTTTATTGATTTTGAAGGACAAGCTCAGTGACCACGTGGAGAGACGTTGTATTTTCTTGTTCAGTCATTTTAACCTGTAGAGATAAATATATATTGGTATAACATACCGATTGATAATGGACTGCAACCATGATAGTGACTAATGTGATTATGAACGACGATGATGAAGCGTCATATCTTATCATAAAGTATCGTGACTTACATAATCCGCACGTACGCTTGCATCGTTGCTTAACGTAACTATTGGATCTACATTGCCGTTTAAATTCCCGACAACGATGGGAAATATCACGACAACCTTTCAAAAGAAAAGAAAAATGAATGCATACYGTGAGAGAATAATATAGATTAATTGAGAAGTGAACTGCTATACAGCGGTTTAGTGAGAGATTGATGGGTCAAGTAAATCGTGTTTAGGAGAAAGAGAAAAAAAAGGACTACTTAATCCCAACATACTTCCTCCTCCTCCTCCGCCTCCGCCGCCGCCACCTACAAAATATAAAGCACGGTTAGGAGGAGTGTACTCAACGTCCAGGCGTTCCTAGCTGGGGATCGAGAGATATTGGGGAGAGGGTAAAAGGATTAAGGCTCCAGCTAACATGCATGTACAAATTAATATTATCATGTCAACTAAAAATGTATATTCTATAACCCTCTAATACCAATATATATACTGCACACGTTGACTTTAAGTAATGGTAAATGCATTGTCTATGAATTAAATACATCTATCCAATAGCGTGATACTTACAGAGTCCGCAGGTCTTTTGACAKCGCTTCCTTACAAACGAGCTGGAGCTGCATTTGTGTTTATTCCAGCGACAATTTGTTGAAATATCCCGACAGCCTAGTACAGCAATAGTCATTGAATCATTTTGTATGTAGCAAGGTACAGCACTCATTTTCATAATCACTCTCGCGATCGTGTAATATAACAAATTTATATATAATCAATTTCATTCGTTATTTTATCACACTGATTTTTTTATGCACATCTACATGATACCGTTACACGAACTGAGAACTTGTAACTAATTAGGCCCTGTTTAATTGTTCAAGCCATTGAGAGTACCAACATCAATTAATTTTGCTATACACGTACCTGTTGGTGGACGTTCCGTAGGGGGTGGTGGTGGTGGTGGTGGTGGTGGAGGAGGCTCATGTGTTGGAGGAGGAGGTGGAGGAGGCTCGTTTGTAGGAGGTGGTGGTGGAGATGGTGGTCCTTGTGATGGTGGTGGGGGAGGGGGTGGTGGTGGTGGTGGTCCACCTCCATCATCTGGTCCAACTCCTACAGATGAAAAGGAAAGTGTGAGAATTTTATACCCATCATACATCATTAACATCACTCACCAGTATTTTCCTTGATCCATTTCACAAAACTGGAAACACGTGCAAATACAGTGTAGTAGGTTGTTGGACAGTTTAATTTTCCAAAGCTYACAGCACCGTGAAGATACCATCTTCCTCCTTCCTCGCACACCAACGGTCCACCRCTGTCACCRTTACACCCACCAGAAGCACCAGCTCGACCCTCCCCAGCACAGATGTGAGAAACAGAATTGACTCCATAGTACTTCTTTTTACAAGCATCCTGGGATACTATAGGAAGCATTGCCTGCTGAAGGATGTCGGGAGATTGYCCTGTGGAGCCTACTATTGCACCCCAACCTGCGAGGAAASCTATACTGTAGCAAAACGACATAGTTCGCCAATTATATCACACATGAAATCATGATTTACCTGTGATGTAGCATCTCTTGCCTGGTTGAGGTCGTGTTTCAGTCAAACAAACAGCACCAACCTTGTCGCTCATTTTAACAGGAGAAGCAAGTCGTAACAAYGCGATGTCGTTATTGATGCGTCTGTCATCATAGTTTGGRTGTTCGATAATCTGAGACACGCGAAGTGTTTGTTGTACACTTGTGGTACCTCCGAACTTCCTGTGAGCGCCTGGAAAACATTAAGAATAGAAATGGTACTATGGTTTGCTTTTACCGTCTCACAGAGAATAATCCTACTTTATTGGTGTATATCAGGTACCTGCCACAACACTGTAGATCCTTGGGTTTTGATTCCTATGAATACAATGTGCAGCGGTCACCACCCAGTTTGGACTGATCAATGAACCACCGCATGAATGCCCTCCATTTCTACGAAGTGAAATCTGCCAGGGCCAAGCATGGGGAGAAGCGTTTTGRCCATTGATAACGCGGGCTCCMCCTGGACGAGTTCCACACCCTGACAAATGAAAATAGTATTCTTATARTAGTGTTGTTGAAATAGAATTACTATCAAAGTTATGTCTAGCTACCAATCATGCATTATATACGAAGAATACTTATGAAGAATACTTAGAAGGTCTTAGAAATGCTTTCAGGAGAGTTGAGCGATCGAGAGGTGACGCTAACATCATTAATCATTGTTTGTTGTTGGCCAAAGAAATTGTTTGAAACAGATAAAGAAGTACTCACCAGCTTCAATAGAACTCGTCCCTAAAACAACTAAAAGAACTGAGAAGATTATCTTCATGTTGTAATCCGCAATGGTGAGCAAGATGGTAGAATGAGAGGATTTTATGAAATCCACGTATCATCTGTGTTTACACAGCTGAATAGAGAACAAGTTTCCAACGAATCTGTAGATAAACAGATCAGGTTCTCCAAGTCAACCACTAAAACACGAACTTTTAAAGAATTTATATAATTTTGATTTTGCAGTACACTGGAAAAAATCGCGCGCTTTACAGGTTGCAAATTTGATGTAAATATGATGTAAGTGTCCAAAATTCTGTAAATTTAATGAAAATCATTTACATCAAATTTACAGAATTTTGGACACTTACATCATATTTACATCAAATTTACAACCTTTAAAGCGCGCGATTTTTTTCCAGTGGTATTCAAATTGCTTCCCGGTAAAACGCTTGGTATTGCTATCCCCTCCCCCCTCCGAGCCAACAAAGATAAAATGGAAAGTCACGTGTCACATGTAAGGAAGTTTTAACTTAAAAGTTTGTAAGCAGACCTACTCAGAGTAGCGCATTGYATGATGGACAAGACATGGGAGACATTGAGAAAACAGAAATATCGGATGACTGAACAGAGTAAAAGGACAATTAAAGCCATTTCAAAGGTTAATGAACGATGACACAGTAGATGAAAAATACAGTAGAGATCATCAGGARTGCAACACAGCTGACATAACCTGTCAAACTTGTTTGAAAACCTGTTTCAACACAGTGTTCAGATGTGTTGACTCGGAAATCAGKTTTCTTGGAAAACATAACGTTGTTCGATGATAGTGACCGGCTTTTGGTTCTATTTTATGATTATCGTTATTTTAGGGGGAAAGGGTTAGGGTTAGGGGAAAGGGAAAAAAGCTTAGAAAAAACTTTATGAACGAGATATGCCTATTCCGGATAAAACTGAAAAGATTGTATTTTGAAATTGGGAGTCGATCCATTGTTATTGTCGGAATACGACACACGAGTCTTGACAAATCCAATCATTTTATTAAAGYAATAATAAGGCTACATAGTGGTAGAATTAATATAACAGCAACATTCATCGACGTTACACAGCACATTCTCAACCTGTAAATAAACAAAACAGCAGAAATMAATTCTTGATTGTTTTGTCATGATAATGTGAACAGTTTTTCCTGTTGTTGATACATACATAGTTTACATGTTTTGGGACATTTTCTTCTCACGTCGGCATTAAAACCACATTGCCAGAAGTTGATTAGACACACTAYGCCGTTGACGTCTTTACAACCTTCAATTAAATAAATAAAMTAAATTCAACAATTCTAGGAATTGCGCAATGGAAGGATAAATTTATTGGTGATCGAAAACATACTGAAAGTAACCGAATGAATGGGAAATTAAAATGTTACCTCCGCCGCCACCTCCACCGCCGCCTACAATGAAACACAATGATAGAATTAATCTCAATTTTACCTCTAGTAAACAATGTCTATCGAATATTGACTTACAAAGTCCACATGTCTTTTGACATCGCTTCCTGACATACGAGTTAGTCCTGCATTTGTGTTTATGCTTGTGACATTGTGTAGAAATATCTCGACAACCTTCAGCAATAATCAATAAAAMAATTCTTAGTAAACTGCTTTTTTAAAAGGAGTTATAGTGCTTTTTGCAACTGATTTTGTTATATTTTAAYTAATGTAAAACGTACCTGGTGGTGGGCCTTGCGTTGGGGGTGGTGGTGGGGGTGGTGGACCGTTCGTTGGGGGTGGTGGTGGGGGTGGTGGACCGTTCGTTGGGGGTGGTGGTGGGGAAGGTGGTCCTTGTGTGGGAGGTGGTGGGTTTCCTCCGTCTGGTCCAACTCCTGAAATGAAACATAGAATATTTCTTCAAAAATTAAATTAGATTAAAAGCACAGCAGTATGACGCAATACTTACCGGTGTTGCTCTGGATCCATTTCACAAAACTAGAAACACGTGCAAATACAGTGTAGTAGGTTGTTGGACAGTTTAAYTTTCCAAAGCTCACAGCACCGTGAAGATACCATCTTCCTCCTTCCTCGCACACCAACGGTCCACCGCTGTCACCGTTACACCCACCAGAAGCACCAGCTCGACCCTCCCCAGCACAGATGTGAGAAACAGAATTGACTCCATAGTACTTCTTTTTGCAAGCATCATGGGATACAATGGGAAGAACAGCCTGCTGAAGGACTTGGGGTGATTGTCCTGTGGAGCCTACTATTGCACCCCAACCTATTATTTTTWATAGATTATTACATTAAAACGAATACTCTTACTTTGGTACATAATTTCATATCAAATGAATATTTACCTGTGATGTAGCATCTCTTGYCTGGTTGAGGTCGTGTTTCAGTCAAACAAACAGCACCAACCTTGTCGCTCATTTTAACAGGAGAAGCAAGTCGTAACAAYGCGATGTCGTTATTGATGCGTCTGTCATCATAGTTTGGATGTTCGATAATCTGAGACACGCGAAGTGTTTGYTGTACGCTTGTGGTACCTCCGAACTTCCTGTGAGCACCTGGAAAACACCGAGAAATAGTCTGTTAAAAAGTACCTTTATATCTAGATATCCTGCATGGGCTAATACCTGCGACAACGGTGTATGATCTTGGATTTGTATTCCTGTGTACACAATGTGCAGCGGTYACCACCCAGTTTGGACTGATCAATGAACCACCGCATGWATGTCCTCCATTTCTACGAAGTGAAATCTGCCARGGCCAAGCATGGGGTGAGGCATTCTGGCCATTGATGACACGGGCTCCGCCTGGACGAGTACCACACTCTGGAATAGATACGAACGCGTAACTAAATGTCCTTATAGAAGGATAAGCAGATTTATGTTTTAAGATTTAATGACAAAAGATATAATGCCAAGTACAACTCACTCGCTTCAATGGAATTCACCCCCAAAAGAACGACCAAGACAGCAACAAGTACCTTCATCTTGAGGTAAATAAGGTCGATTATTTCAGCAAAAGCAGTTTTATAACGAAACATTGTCATCTGTGTTTATACAGCCAAAGTGTACAACCAGTCTTAAACAAGAACTCATCTTAAAGATAAACACAGTGAGAAGAGAAAAATCTTCAAACACAAGAGGTGATACCTATTTGCTTTGTCWCTAGCTTTGATATTGCCGTATTGTTGCTTGTTGCCATTGTGCACATCTATCACTAGTGTTGGCTCTGCATGCAGTTAGGGGGAGCAGCAATGTAAGAAAAACGTAGAGAGAATGAAAATACARTGGAATGGAATGAGAAAAATAGTCGAAGAAATAATTGTAAAAGGAAAAGTAAGAAGAAAATTGAAGCAAACGCAGAAATACGCCCACCTTGATGATTGAGCTCATGAAGGACACTAATAGGGCTAATATAAAACCTTTAATTAACTAAAGAAAAGAAGAGCAAAAAATATCATGAGTTTCGAACAAACCAAAGCAATTGACGAATTTATGCCCCCAGTATTGAAGGGATAGATAAATGGAAAGTGGATGGATGGATGGACAAATAGACATAATATAATCAAACAAAACCATGACGTAGAAAATATGAAGGCTCAATACAGCAGCTGATATAACCTGTCAAACTTGTTTGGAAACTTGTTTCAACACAGCATCCAGATGTACAAGTGCGTAGGTGGTTTTTGCACCTTTTTAGTTTACTGGTTACTCGGTGCCTTTCAACAAGATGGTAACAATATTAATGATAATCGCGATTGGTGCTGGYTTAACCGAAGCAAGTAAGAACCAGTCTTGATTTGCTACACGATCATGACATAAAAAGTGTTATTTATAATAGAACATTTGTAAATGCATCTCTATATGAATTGCAAGCTTTTACGTTTATAATTGTTATACTTAGCGTTTAGGGTTAAAGGGAAAATCCTATCGCAAAAAGTGGCTTTCGTAGAGTTCTCCCTAACTTAACACTGCAAAAATAACTGATAATCATTGCTTAATGCGAAATTTCAGATACATTAAAATTAACCTAAGAAAGATGACTTTAAAGGTAAAGTTTTGAAATTTGACTTGATATTATAATTCACAGCGTCATGCGGAACACGTCCAGGAGGGGCGCGTATTGTAGGAGGAGAAGATGCCGTCCCTAATTCATGGCCCTGGCAAGTATCTCTTCGCAAAGGACGTTCCAATTATCATACATGTGGAGGAACTCTTATCCGACCAGACTGGGTACTAACCGCTGCSCACTGTGTAATGAGGCCTGACAGATACACTGTTATAGTAGGTAAGGCACTAGATGGCTTGGAGTAAAAGCTTGAAGTAACTAGATATATAACAAGGCAATAAAATCTKGAGTATGTCTTGTATATATGAATGTAAGGACCGCATGGCACTATGGGATACATTATATAGAAATAAAGGAAAATTATAGTGATAGGAAGGAGGCTTTTCCTCGTAAAAGAACCTAAATTCTGAAAAATTAATTAAATTTCGGAAAAATTAATTTCCAACCCGCTGGAATTCGAACCCACGACCCTCGGATTTGTACTACCAATGCGTATAAAATTATGTTCGTTTATCACTATTAGTCCTTAATTCATTGTGAACCTAGAGAAAGGCATATTCAATGCTTAGTGACGGGTATTAATATCCACAGGTTCTCATTATCGTAAAGGGAACGAAACCGCTGTACAGCAGAACATACGAGTCCGCAAGGTTCACCGTCATCTTGGTTTTACTATGGCTGACTACAAGGACGACATAGCTGTCTTACAGCTTGATAGACCAGCTGTTCTTAGTGACAAAGTAAAACCAGCATGTTTGCCGACTAAAGACCCTGCCGTAGGCGCTAAATGTTATACCTCAGGTCATATCGTTAAATACAATGACCGACATCCCAATTTCGCCTCAGCAGTCGTGCACAACCACGGAATCAAGAGACGCCGTCCATAAGGCGCAGTCATTCGCAAGAAAGCAGAAGKTTTTAGTAGAAACACTTCTTGTGTTTGGCTACTGAGGCGAAATTGGGAAGACCGACATAGAAACAATAATTTCTTTTCATTTTTATTGGTAGTTCATTGTATTCATGTGATTAACGTCATTTAACGATTATCAGGCTGGGGTCGTATTTCACCAAATGGCTGGGGCTCAGAAACATTAAAACAAGCGCAGTTTGTGATTTCATCAGACGATGAGTGCAAAAGGCAGTATGGTGCTGGTTTTATCAAGCARTGGACTCACTTGTGTGCAGGGGATCCTGGGAATTCTGCGAGCACTTGTCAAGGTATGTATGTTTATATAATTATAATCCAGGAAAATCACTGAATAWAGCATCTCAAKAGAGCCACAAATCCGGTAATTTCTGCATGGAGGCTAGAGATTTTCTGATAAGGATCGTATACCCGAAAATGGTCAAAATATATAATATWAGGAGTGATATGCACCCCCCTGGAACCACTGAAGCAGTAGATCCATGGCATACGATATATTACCATCTTGTWTTATCAATGTTTAAGGTGACAGTGGGGGTCCACTGGTCTGCGAAGAAAATGGACGATGGTATGTTCATGGAGCGACAAGCTTTGGTGCCAGTTGCAGTCTAAAGTACGACACGGTATACACCAGAATAAATAAGTACATCGACTGGATTTACAAAAGGATTGGAGGTAAAATCACTCTTATTCATATTTTCATTTTCTTGTCGCTTTTCGCTTTGATTTCACTTCCTTCTGCATGCATGTTTTTTCCTTCCATGCCATTTTCCTTTGGTCTTCTTTCCTTTCCTATTACATTTTCCTTTGGTGTTCTTTCCTTTCCTATTACATTTTCCTTTGGTCTTCTTTCCTTCTCTTTTCATTGCAGCCTTTGGGTCCAGGGGAAACTGAAAAATCATTTTTTCCGTAAAATAAGAATGTTTCCCTAACATCTTAATTATTTCCAGGTACTGCGCCAACACCAGAACCGACAAATCCACATCGAACTACTGCACAACCACCGAAAAAAACCACAGTGACACCGACAACCCATCCACCACCACCACCACCGAAAACAACCATATCACCAAAAACAACCATATCACCACCAGCAACCCAATCTCCTGTGACTACACCAGGTAATTGTATGATATCCTAACTAAACATATAATAGAAAATGCCGAGTTTTTGTTTAAAACATCAATATTGCAGGTTGTAAAGACAAAGGGTCAGGATGCAGTGGAATGCAAAGCAGTCAGTGTAGCTTTCCCATAGTGAAGATGTTGTGCCGGAAAACATGTGGATTGTGTAAGTAAATGATTTTATTTATTTCTTTAATGGAATAGTTTTCAGTCATAAGAATTTCATGATGGTTGACTAGAATCGATATCCAACGAACTACCCCAACCTAAAAACATTGATAGGCTGAGCTCTTCTCTCTTTTAATATCAGATTTTAAGTAACATTTATTAACATCTAAAGTTGTTTATTTTTATTTCATTATCTCTATAATATACATGTATCCTATACAGTATATATATATAATATATAAATGTACAATTCACAAACAGCATTTTTACTGATCAACAGGTTAAATGACCATTATTACCAAGACTTTTCAAGTGTAAAGCCACGATTAATAAAACCAAAAATAAACATAAACAACACCACGTATTTTCTCATCTTTGCTTCTATTGTTGTTACCACCTGGTATTGTTATCTAGAATAGTTTGTTCGTTGTTCCATTTCCTCCTTTCCTTTAATTTGTATAAAACCCTTATATCCAAATGTCGATAATTATCGAA